ATCATAAGATACCTCCTTTAGAGTGGGGTTCCAATAAAAAACAAAACCATATTACACTCAATGAAGAAGTTTCAAGCTTTCCAGCACTGTGATGTTCCCTTTCCCTGCAGCCACAATTTTTAATAGCTATTTTAATGGCTTAAAGCAAGGTTATTGAGGGACATCCTATGCCTCTCAGACACACTTTAAGTAATAGCAGCTGTATATTATATTCATAAAGGTGATTTGATCTGTTATAACATAGTTATTAAAAAAAAAAATCAGATAGTGACTTTTATTCTGGTATCTCTGCCACTGACCACTTATCTGTCTGGAGTCAAATCGACAGCTTAATGCATAAACTGAAAAATAATTTGCATGATAGCATCTTGTTAGCTAAACAAACCACCTGTTCAAATAAGTAAGTCCCAGTATAAACCAGATGTTCTACCAAAAGCGAATGAAGGACTTACAAGGTAACAAAGGACTTTTGTCTGTAAATACCCTGTACAAATACACACATTGTAACACTTCTCTAAAATGGCACTGTTTCACACTTTTGCTGTTATCTGTGACCTTCATTAGTGTTCACCCATTTTAGTCATCAGTATTGTTCTAGAAGTGCACCGAGTAAACAGAACCCAGAGAACTGAGCTTGAAACACAGTAACTGGGCTCTATCTCCACAGGCAGCTTGTATCCTTGACATTTGCGTTGTGTGTCCAACACCACCTTTTACAAAACCATATTTTAATGCACATCAAACTAACAATGACACCTTCTGTTAAAGGAAGGTTAAAAACCAAACTGCAACAGTGCAGTTACAGTACAGCGAGATATATTTTAGCTATTAAAAAAAAAAAAAAAAAAAAAAAAAAAAAAAAAAGAGTTCCTTCTCTGCACAGGTATGTGATAATATTAAGGAACCACACTTAACAATATCTTTTCATACACTTAAACAACCTTCTAACCCCACCAAAAAAATAAAATAAAAAGGAGTAATATGCACAGTAAGAGCCTGCCATCATGATCTGTATTCCTACAGACAGCCATTAAACCTACTCATACTATTCTTATTTTCCTCACAGAGCAAAGCTGGCACAGAAAACACTTCAACACTTACCCCCGGAAAGGTTTTAATTTTGGCCTGAGCTCATAAGACTGTTAAATGCATCTTCAAACCCATGAGTATCTTACAGGGAAGTGATTCTATCTCTTCTTCTAGAGTACAAACAGCATCAGTTCCTTGTACCAGTAGAAAAAATAAGTATACCCATAAAAATATACATACACTGTTCTAGACACATGATGAAACCTATCTGGCTTTGAGGGATCATTAATAATTGAACTGCGAGGTACTAAATGCAGGCCACCGACATGCTACACGACCAGATTGCAGTTGTACATTGTGCCCCTTCTAGCGCAAAGTAAACATTCTAGATTTTCAGAAAACTTGAAGTCAAAATACAGATTCTGACAAATTATAAGGAAATGCAAATAAACCACTAGTCGGCCTGTTTGTAATAAGAAACAGCACATTTTAACAAAACTAAATTAAATGCATGAAATCCAAAGTAAATGCCTACCCAATACTGGAAAACATCAAGTTTCAGTCCCTGAACTGCCAGTGACCCAACAAGACAAGACTGCTTAATTTTCTTGGGGGTTGTTTTCTTGGGGGTTGTTTTGTGGTCTTATTTTTAGGGGTTTTGGCTTGTTGTTCCCCCCCACCTCCCCTTTCTTCTGCTATTCCAGCATTAAAAACCTGAATTGGCTACTACAACACACCTACTTAATCAAGCTCCCTGGAGTTCTAAGGAACACCCACAAAGCATCATGTGCACCAAAAATTACTAAATTTTCCAAAACCAAGAAGGAATTTTTGGGATGCAGGAAGCAACTGGATGTCATGGAAAAGCTTTCTTCCTTGCAATCACAACTTTCCTCAGGTACTGATTGTCCAAGCGCTACCTCTCTCTCATCAAGCCAAGCTCTTTACATTGTCATCAAATTTTATAGGCCATCATTTAAATTCCTTTTAGCTGAACATAATATTTATTAATGTCTTTTAGAGATACAAATCAAAACATCACAACTAACCAGGCTGTGGGAGGGAGAGCATTTAAGCTCAACTCCTCAGTGTGTAGTGCGAGTATGGGACAACCACCTAACCTGGATGCCTAGTTAAGACATTGACTCCTACTACTTTCTTTTTATTAACCTAAGGCATCTGACGACTGTACCCAACAACACTGTACATACTTCATTGCCCACCTGCACTAACAACACACGGGGCTCAAGTCAATTTTTGCCATGGATGGGCAATTCCAGTGTTGGCCTCAAAATAACTCACAAGAGATGACTGTACAGAATAGCCTTTCTCCAAGTTACATTCCCAAAGAGTAATTCTAGGAGAGCTTTATTCTCTCATCCTTTCAGTAAATTACTTTTCTTGGCTCAGAGCTTTAAGATTTTACTGCTTTTTAAGTTTGAGACAAAACATTTAATCACAGATTTGTTAAGATTTAGCCACTGAACACAGGCTTTTCTACAACCTTCGAAGCTCCAGCACAAGTCACAGTAGAAGTCCCCAACTATACACACTACTGGAAAAATTTTTGATTTACCATGGATTTCCTCCCAGTAATCATTCACAGCTTGAGTTTAGCAATAAAGAAATCCACCATCGTGCCCCCAACGCCATCTGGAAGATCAGGCTTTTGGCAGAGAAAAATGGAGCAGCAATTGCCTAGCAGCCCAGGAAGTCAATGGCTTCCCCACGCAGGGATGAGCAACAGGCTGCTCCTGCTGAGCGCAGGACTATGCATTTCTCTTTCTGACAGCAAAGCTGCTTTGGACACGCAGTGCGCAAGGTCTCCGTTACACTGGCAGGTCACACACACACCCCCCTTCCCCCAAATCCTGCCCTTACCAGTAGGGTTAAGCAGCAAGCTACGGAATTTCAACTGTATAGCCAAAAAGGCAAGGAGTGTGGAGAGCCAGTCTCCTGGGAGAGCCTTTAGACACAAGGGTTTCAGGCTGCGAGGCAGATAACAAACACCTCAGTACACCACTGATTTAAGCTGATCTCAAATCCCACAGCTTGACAAAGGATTCAGCTGAACTTTGGCAATGTCAGGGCCAAGAAAACCTCCTCCCTTTCCCCCCAGCAGTAGGATAGTACTATTTACTTCTAGCAATTAGAGCTCTAAAACAAGTGTAAAGGTTTTGTTGGGTTTTTTGTTTTGTTTTGTTTTTTTTTTTTCATTTTAAGCACAACTATTAAAGGGGAGTTTGGAATATGTAAAAAAAAAAAAAGTGAGCCCATTATCTAGGAGACAACAGACTACATTGGCATCCTTCCAGGCTGCACTTATTAGCTAAACCACAAGTTTATTTACATATACAATACCAAACAGATATGCATCCCTTTTTATTGAGAAGGTTTTCAGAAACTGGAATAGTCACTCAAGATCTTCTGTCAAGGTCACAGCAGGGACCACCACTGATCTCTGCAGCTTTAAAATCCCAACTCCTTCCTCAAATTTACTAGTCTCCGTGCTCCCTGGAGCATGAGACAAGGTAAGAAGGACAGAGATTGAGAGTTTCCCCAGACATACACTTTAACTTTGCTGCAGGCGAAAAGAACTTCCCATCCACATTTTTGCTCCAGGTCAAGTTCCCAATAAAATCACAGTAACGGTATCATTGCAGGTATGTATGAAGTCATCAAGAATTAAACTACTGTCTCTAACTGGTGTCAGAGGTTACTGATACAAAACAGCAGATGGAAGGGACTTCTGGTCAAGCCAGACCTTGCCCTGATTTGAACCAGTGTCCTGAATAAGCAGCTTGTCCATTAACCAGCCCTCTCTGAGATCAGAGGGTACAGCTGTAGCTGTTTCCAGAACCATGCCTGCATATTAACCCCAGTAACTACAGACGTGTTAGGATCATCACTGGATCTAGTTATTTACCTGTATCAAGCATATTTTGCAGCATCTCCTGACAACTACACTGTTAGCTGTATATCTGTGAATCACTGAGCTTAGAGTCTGTAAAACCCAGCTATATTGCAGCAGAAATATCTTGGTTTCTAGCAGCTTCTAGCTTCTCAGGGAGACTGTTCACTCATCTTTCTACCCATATTTTATACCTCTATCATTTCTTCAGTTTAAGTTACATCTGTAAATGCAAGTATTTGCCTTATTTCTCTAGAGTCACCATTGCTCTAAATCAATTCAGGTCATGCTGAAATTAGTCTTGCCCTTCAGCAGGTTAACAGCTTCTCCAGTTTTGCTATAATTAATACATGTCCGTAGATAAATTGCAAATAAAGTGAAAGACAAGAAAGAAGTAGGATTACTCTGCAATATTTTATCTTGTCCCTCCATCCCCAAGTCCAATAAGAAGCCTCTCAAAAATCTCACCCTAATGCAATTTAGTAAGTCAGCAAAAGAGAGACAATACCTTCAAGGTATTTCATAGAAGAAATAACACGTAACCTATAAAAGACTCCTCATTAAATGTGGGCACCACACATAACCCTACCTGTTTTCCTGCAAAAGGGAAAAAAGCTTACTCATTTTCTAAGCTTGCACCTTCTTCATAGTCCATTCTAGCTGCAGTAAGATTCATTTGGTCACCCTGGACAGCAGTAGGCCTGTATTTATCATGGTGGAATATGTCCTCACCATTTGTTCTTACAGTTTATGGAAAGGCAATTAAAATGACTCATAAAACTGCTGTAGGAAAAAGCTGAAACAAGTTAACAGAATGAGCTGCTTTAAAATGATGTTTCCGGCATGCAGAGCCAAAACCACATCACACTTTCAACTGACTGATTTATAGCTATTATTTATTATAAGTGGCAAGACCATCACTGAGGCCAAGTCATGCTTCATGACATGTTCCTGAACTGCTCACAGATCTTAAGTACACTATAAGCAGTGGAAGGCCTGGTTCTATGTTCTAGAGAAAAGTAATGCTTTACTAATGTACTACTCTTTTCCTTTTGGAAAACTATATTTTCCTCATGATGAGAATGATCATCACAAAAATTCTTACCTGTTTTCCATCTAGTGTGTATAAGCGTTTAACCACCCCTGAATCCAGCTTGATGGCATCGGTTATATCAGTAAGAACCTGTTCAAATGAATGTGCTGTCTTCTTGTTGAGCAGAATCCGGACTGCTTTCCGTGGTTTCACCCCGCTCCTGATGATAGTGACTAGTTTAGGCCTAATGAAATCCTTATTCTCTTTTGCATCTGGAGTACCTCCTTTAGCAGTGGCAAGAGATGGCACTGAACGAGAAGTAGAAGTTGTCTTAACATTCACTGACCAGTTTGGGTTTACATTCTTCGTGTACTCCAGTTTCTTGAAGGGTTCTATGGAACCACACACATAGCTTTCCCCTGCGGAAACAAAAGTGTCAGACCAGCAAGTCAGATTGGAGGGGGAGGAAGGAAAAAAAGAAAGAAAAATCCCAGAAACACCCCAAATCAAATCCTTCTCAAACTATTAAACATTCTTCTTATTCTTGATTTACAGGGCATACAATATTGACCTCTGCCCTTCCCAGATGCTACAGACTATAAAATATCTTTTAAAGATCACTCATCAGCTAACCATCCAGAAAATGCTGTCACAAAATCCTTGAAAGCAGCAGTTTTCTTTTCAGAAAACACCATCTGCAGCGGGGATCGCTGCTGTCAGTAAGTAGTGTTCATATCTAATCAGCTGCCCAGCCCCAGCACATTATCACAGTAGTGCCCCAGCCTTCACGCTTAAATGGCCCGCTCCTAACAAAACAGCAGGCCCCAAACACTTCTGAGGAAATAACATGAAAGGTTGTCAAAAACTATAGGTTACAAATAACTTTCTATAAAAGGTGGAAGAAAGTGTCACAGGAGATTTGTTAACATTTGATTATTTAAAGCTTTAAGTAGCATAAACCCAGGATACAGGCAAGAAATCTCACTGTATTATTCCACTGACTCAATACATAATATAGTGGGAAAGGAAGGCAAAGAATAGTAATTACAGAGTTCTCCTCACAACAAATTTACCATACTTCAAAGAAAAAAGTGGACTACAGATCATATTTCTATTGGAGTACTAGCTACAATAAAATATTTTCTCAAATACCACACACACGCAATTTCTGAGGAACTAGAAGATAGCCAGAAAACTCCAACACATCTCTGTTGATTAACACCTTAATGCAGTCCAGCTGCAGGCTGCTGCAAAAGGGGACCTGCTTGGGTCCTCCCAGCCTCTCCCTTGAGCCTGACTGAGCGACTGCACTGCCAGTCACACTGGGTGAGCTGGATCAGCTCAGTGATCTCACTGAACATAAAGACAATACTGAACACTAATTTTGCAACAAGCTGATCCACTTCACCCTCTGGCTGGGAAAAAAAAAAAAAAAAAAAAAACCACCAACAAACCAACAACAAAACAACCACCACCCACACAAAGAAAACAATACTAGATCCAGCAAGACCACACCTTCTGGCAGCCTGCTGTTAAACTCCATTACAAATAATGCAAAATCCTATCGTGAACAATATCACAAAAAGATCTTAGATGTTTTAATTCTTCTGATTCGGTAGTTCAGTGTATGCTACCAGCATAGTGCCTTCATGTTAGCAGTTTAGCCCAAGGTATTAAAATAAAAACAGACGAAAACTCAAGTGATGTACCTCCTATGCCAAAAAGCACAAAAGAATCAAAGATTTTCCTAACGATCCCTACCCTAAGGAAAGAGGACTCACAGTTCAATCATTAAAAGAAAAAGTAGTACTTAAAATTTGTGACCAGAAGTAAAATTTAAGGTTCCAGGGCACCCAACCCAACCCCACAGATGACAGAATGCTGGCAGACACCCAGAGTTAACACAGTTAGAAATGGGGTGGGGGCTCCACTGGGACATGAAGCTCCGGGTGCAACAGAGGTTCAAGTCTGTTGGCATGATGCTCCAAAGGCGAGACAGTAACACCCTGTACACGCATTATCACAAAGGCAGTGGAAGGACTCCAAAAGAAGACAAAGAAGTCAGAGCAACATGTGAAGATGGATCACCGAACAGAAAAGATAAATGCAATGACAGCATAAGATCAAATAAGAACCATAAAAAGATTTTTGGGTTTCCTTCTTTTTTTTTCCTAATCAGAACAGAATACAGAGTGGGAGATGAAGTAAGGCATTCCAATGCTTACTAGTCATTGTGTGAATTCAAGTTGAGTTGCACTTTGCCATAACATCTATAGCGTTAAGAAAAGAATCCAAGATGGAATGCTTACACCGACCTTGGAAGAGACAAAGGTAAGTGCTTCCTTTTATCCTTTGCATATATGTGTGTGAGAGAGAGAGAGATGGTAACATCAGAACAGAAAGGCTTAGCCACAGTAATGATCCAAGAGTGATCAAACAGTACATACTTTTTTATTCATGTCCCTGCCCAATATTTTTAGCACTAGCTACTCAATTACTGCAAGATCAGAACGCGTCCACACCACCACATCCATAAAATTAACAAGTTTTAAAAAACTTTAATAATATTTTGTAGGGAACTAAAACTACTACTAGTAGGAGTGCACTTGAATACAATAAATACCTGTTTATAAAATATTTTGCAGAAATCTCTTTCATAAATCTTTAAACAAAATTTATTCTTGTCTCCACTTCTGTTTGCTCTAAGACTTAAAATCCACCAGCAACCTCTCTTTTTTGGGGGGTGGGGGGGGTGGTGGATAAAAATCAGATTTTCAGGTTCAGTGCTATCAGAGACATTGTTCAGTTTAGTTGCATGAAATAACAGGTTTTCTATTTAAAACAAGTCTTCATATTAAAACTCACTTCTTAAAGGGTAGGTGCATAAACAAATGGCTATATGCATTTTACCCAAAAGATTCACAGTTACTTTATTAAGAACTCTTTTGGTTCCCCTTCTTGAAAGGATAGCATTCCACATGATTTTTAATATCAGCTCTATTTAAAGGTCAGCTGGGTTCCTTGTAGTGTTTAACAGGATGTCTGCTCTTCATTATAAAACTAGTTTTGTGTAAATGACCATAAAAAAAAGACCAATACAATCACTGAAGTTCTAAGATTGTTTTAACATCAGACTTTTGCCTTTCTTCATTTCCAACAGTACTATATTATTTCAACAAAATATTTGCACCAAGATATATTTTTCCAGCCCTTGAAGAGGTTCATATTTAGCTACACTGTATCTTGGAGGTAGAGTATCCAAAGCCTTCTAAGATGAAATATCTTTAGTAAGAGCTATTTTATATAGGAAAAGGGGAATACAGACAGCTTTCCCATAATGCTATTATTTAAGACTGTTTAAGCGAAGTGCTGGCGCTTGGAAACCTTCAGGGATGTTATCCAGGGACTGCAGTTCTCATTCACGGTGGTCCTAAGGGCCAGGCCTGTAAGAACAAAAACGAAATGGACAAAACCCCTACGTCCTAAAATATCTTGTACCTGATCTTAAGATCAGTAAACTGTGTTTTATGGTGACATCCAGAAAATCTTAAGTACTCAAGACACTGGAAACACTCAAATACAAGCTTAAATTTCCTGAACATGGGACCCGCCCTGACAGCATCCAGAAATTTCAGTGTCTAGCCTAATCCTTTAGCGCCTGCCATGTGTGTATGCAGACGAAATCTCAAAGAAAAGGACAAAAAGCCTTCACCTAGATTTTCATCCTCTCTTCTTTTTCATCGTTACCTTAAGAAGAGAGGATGGCAAATAAGTTTTACAAGGGGCATGACTTACTAGTCCAATAAATCTACCTTCCGCCTTAACCATCGCTTCCTCGCCAAAACTATTAGGTGATGACATAATATTCTTTTTTTTTTTAATTTTATTTTTGGTAACCTCTGCCTCACAGACAACAGCCTCAACCCTGTGACTAGTACCTGAGGAAAGACAGAAGCTGCCATCTGTGGACAGGCAACACCACCAGCAAGTTGGTTTTCGCAGCTCCAAAGCACCAGGAAAATACACCTCTGGGGGTAATCCCACCAAGCACTGTCAGCTCTACTCTGGGTCAGGCCTGAGCACAAATACAGCCCACAAACATTGGCTTTCACTAACTGGCAGCTGGAGGAAGAAGGTAACAATCTCCCAATACTAGATTTGTAACAGAACAGGTGTTGAAAAAGGCATCTTTGGAGACAGTGGATTTAACAAAAGCACAGAAAAGGCAGCCCACTTACAGTGTCTATTTGACTGCAGCTCCCCAAGAGAGGGGAGTGAGTGTTTCACAGTGCAGTCAGCTGTCACTAATAAAACTTTGACTCATGATTACAGTGTCAATAGCCATCAGAAAAAAGAAAAGGGGGACACCCAGCTGTTTTGGGACATCTGACATCTAAGAAAAAAGTCTTACTAAATCTTAGAAAGCATCCCTTTCCTGACAGTCCTCCTACCTCTTCACAGCAACAGTTCAAATGAAACTCACACCACTTTAACCCTTCCAAAAAAAAAAAAAAGATACACAAGCTTGTTTGCCAGTTTTGAACCAGTAATCCTACAATTTAAGTCGTGCAAGTGCTCAGCACTTCAGGAAATTCCATGTGGAACAATTAACATAAATCTCAGCATTGAGAAGCTAATCAGAAAGCTAATCATGTAGAAGGACAGATCCCAAAACACAGTTTATGCTAAAAAAAACCACCCCACAAACAAAAGCCTACTACCTGCAATCACACATCTGTCAAAATTCAATGCAGCTGAACCACTAGAGCCATGTAACGCTGAAGCATTGTTCTTACAGGTCTCAACAGAATTTCATTACATGCTTCATATATTAAAAAAATCATTTCTGTGTACAAGGTGGCTGCTAAGGAGCTGTTGAATCACTGCCTGTAAGTACTGGAGCTTTCCTGATGCAAGTGTTGATTCTCTCTTTGGCCTATTGGTATTAGCAGTTAGTTACTTTCTTCCAGCTTGCTGACAGTCTCACTACAAGAATGATCAAGGCATTATCTCTTAAAAAGGATTATTTGCATTGCTTTTCTGTTCTAAAGGAGACTTAGCCTAACATGGCTTCATAAAGAAGCCAGCTGGTCTTCAGTGAAAACCCTGGAGAAGGAATAGAGAACCTGTTTGAATCACGCAGGCAGAGAGGGACCAACCAACCCCTCTTTGTGAGGGCAGCAGGACTAACAGTTTATTGAAAATAGCATTGACTCCTTGTAGCAGAGCATGTACTAGGAAAGGCAAGTTAACGTACAAGCCCAGCAGAGGTGGGGGAATCGCAGTACTTGCACACTTGGGAAGGGGGGGATGTTCAGTGCAGCAGTCATCCGCTGTGGTTTGTTTTCCAATGGACAGGGCAAGAAACAGATTAAGAGAACAAGGAAAGGACTGGCATCCCCAGCACCCCAAACAAGAG